AAAAGAAAAAAAGAAAAAGAAAGAAAGAAACAAGCCTAAGCTAAGGCCGAGCTTTCAAAAAAAAAAGAAGAAAGAAAAAAGTGTGATATCATTCATTGGTCTTTATTTCAGGAAATGCTGTCATTCTGGGACGTGGCTATTGAATTCTCTCCAGAAGAGAGAGAATGTCTGGAGCCTGCTCAGTGGATTTTGTACAGGGATGTGATGTTGGAGAATTACAGCAACCTTGATTTCCTGGGTGAGGATATCATCAACAGTGAATCCTTATTTCATTATCAACTTGTAGCTTCCTCTCTTGGTATGGTATCTCACTAGAATTTTTGCTTTTCAACAGTGAGTTTCATATTTTTCATTTTAAGAAAAATTAGGGGGTTAGGGAGATGGCTCAGTGCTTAAGATCACTGACTGCTCTTGCTTAGGACCCGTGTTCAATTCACAGCACTCATATGGCAGCTCACAACTGTCTAACTCCATTTCCAGGGGATCCGACACTCTCATATAGACATAAATACCTGTAAAAAACATCAATGCACATGACATAAAATTTTTTAAAAAATAAGAAAAATTAGGGAGGTTGCTATATAGGTAAGAAACATTTCATTGTATTTCTTTTTGTGTGTTTAACATGTCTGTGTTAGAAACATGCATTCTTTACTCAAGTGGGACTGGGAGAAATTCTGTGTCATGAGGTATTGCACACTCATGTTAATGAAAATGTCTTTCAATTTGGTTTTAATATTTTTCACTCTAAATGAGACTTAGAATCTGGACATTGTACATTGCTTCATGTACGTAGTGGTCCTGTGAGAAAATATTTGAGGGACTGATTATCTGCAGTCATTTATTCCATCATCTTTTCTCATAAAGACTGTACTAGAAGGGACATGTCAATTTCCAGTAGAAGAACACGTCAACAATCTTATTCCCTTTTCCTCCAAACAGGTCTTGCTATCTCCAAGCCACACCTGGTCACATTTCTGGAGCAAAGACAAGGGCCTTGGGATGTGAAGATACAAGTACCAGCCCCTGTACACCCAGGTGTGTAGGAAAGAGGGGTCAAGGGACGGGGTAAAGTCCAAAGATCTGACAAAAAGGCAGGCGTTCCCACCTGTATTGAAACAAGATATCGTGGTGGTGGTGGTGGTGGTGGTTATTCTTTAGGTCTCTTACTTGTTTTCCACAGAGGATATGTCTCAGACGTTTATGATGGTTTTAGTCTCCTACACGTTGTATTTCCCCAGTGGTGAGCTGTGCTTGTATTTACCATGACTTTCAAGGTTCTTCATTTTGTTGAGGCTACATAGTAATGTAAGACTCAGGGAAATACTGTTCTATGCAGAAGAGTCAGTTATTTGCTGGGCTTCCGAGCAGACTCATGCCACAAAGATCTCTACACTGAAGTGAGCATGATTGAGTTTATAAAGCAAACCCACAATTCCATCACAGAGAGGCAGGCAGGTGCAGAAGGCTCAGCAGTTTTGGTTCTGTTGAATAGAAGAATTTGGGTGTGTGTGGAACACTTGGATACAACTCAGAAAAATGGGAGTCACTTTGGACAGTTCATTCGCCACTGTTGTTAGGGAATAGTCAGAGCATTAATTTACTGTATAAGGGATTGTATAAGGGCCATTCCATCCACTAACTTAGCAGAGGCTGTTTTGTTTTTAATCCATGAAGTTTTACAAGCAGTTGATTAAGCAGAGCCAGACCATTAAACCAAGGAAGAGAAGGAAGAGCCGGCCTGCTGGGGCTTAAGGAGTTCTGCCATGGATCCCCAGTACACCACTTGTGGAACGAGCAGTTGTGGGCCTCTCTCTCTTTTTTTAAGATTTATTTATTTATTATGTGTACAGTATTCTGCCTGCATGTGTCCCTGAAGGCCAGAAGAGGGCACCAGATCTCATTACAGATGGTTGTGAGCCACCATGTGGTTGCTAGGAATTGAACTCAGGACATCTGGAAGAGCAGTCGGTGCTCTTAACCACTGAGCCATCTCTCCAGCCCCCAGGCCTCTCTTTCATGGCAGTTAGTAGATTTAGGCTTTTTACTGAGTTGTAAGGCTCAATTTTTTTTTCTGTTTAGGTTAATTTTTTTATCATATACAAAGACCAACTTTTATTTGGATATATACCTAGTCATAATGCATTAGAGAAATAAGAAAATTTTATTTCTAAACCTGATGTTCCCAGGACATCAGAGTTAGTAACATTTTTTTTTTTTCCCCAGAGAACAGTCATGTGTAGCTAGTGCTGCTAGTCCTATAGGAAATATTATGGCTAATATTACCAGGAGTCCAATGGGAGGAAGAGATCTCATGGTCCCTATATCTAAAGCTCTCCTGTTGAGTTCTACAAACTTCTTTTGTGTGTACAGGTCCGATGGCTTTGGGGTTTGTCATGGGAGCAGGACTGAGGAGCTGGTCCTAGATGTCTCTGGACGGTGACTCAGAATTAGTGATCTGGGTGAACTGTCACAGTCCACCTCACCTCCTCCTCAGACCATATTGCTTTCTTTACCTGATGTGTGGGTCCACACATGGCACAAACAACTTAGTTTAAATGAGTGCCATAGTTCATCCTGCTGTGCTGACTGGACCCGTGGCAGAGCCTCTGTCATATATTATCTACCACTTTGCTGAGGACGCCTTACACAATCAGGCATTGACATCTCAGCTCTGGGGTTAGGTTTGTTAGGAGGAGCAAATTCAAAGCCAGGGGACAGGGCGTGACCATTTGAACTGGCATGTAGTTCCCATAACCGTTGGGTGCCAAGTGTAGGTACAAGGTTCCCCTGTACATAGGATACTCAACATCGGTTCATAATACATTGAGTGCAGAGTGATTGCAAGGAATACCTCACTTGTTTGAGACATTTAGGATGTAGGTGCAGAATTTTAGATCCTCTACAGCATGAGAGAATCCTTTTACTGTCTTGTGGGACATGAAGAGTGATTCCTGTTCCCAACAGATAATGGGTTAGATTTCCTGGTCTGGCTTACAGGCCACAGGAAGACAGGGGCAGCAGATACTGATAAGTCCTATTCCCCATGTATCCTTATCCTTTGATTAAGCTAACATGCCATTTATTCTGATAGGCCTGTGTCGCATTGAGGGTAAGTGTGCTATTTGATCCTGTGTTGGTCCTGCCATGCAAGTGTAGTATAGATTTAACCCTTTTTATTCAAACAGGTAATTTCAATAACCAATTATTTTAACTACATATGCTTTTGAATATTATACCATATTGAGGAAATTTTAAGTTGACCTTAAATTAGTTTATGCTTAATTTTGATAACATATACAGAGGACTGTATAATGGAAAGTATAAATTAGTCTCTCCTTTCAACATTGTCACTGTAAATGAATTACATTTGTATTTATCATGACTGCAACCTCAATTTGGGGCACAGTAAGGATATTTAAGCATGAGTAATGTGACATCATTAAATTCTATGTCTTTTTAAAAATTATTTATTTATTTCATGTATATGAGTGACCTATCTTCATGCACACCAGAAGAGAGAATCAGATCCCATTACAAATGGTTCTGAGAACTTCACTGTCCTCATCCCGTTAAGTTTTATGTTTACATCTAAATCAGTCCTACTGACCTTCTACATTAAGTAGCTTGTTTCATCAGAAATAATACAATCAGAGGAGGGAATTGTAAGGCTGACTTTTTTTATAATTATTCATTTTTTTATTTTATTTGCATTGGTCATTTGCCAGCATGTATATCTGTGTGAGTGTGTCATATTTTGGAGTTACACATAGTTGTTAGCTTAACAATGTTAGCAAAGACATAAGTGACTAGATAGACACATCTTCAAGTCATATTTTGTTAACATGTATAGACCTTCATAATCTTAGGAACTTTAACAACTTTAGACCATTAAGTATACTGTCTTTAAAAGCCTGTATAACATATTCAGATCTCCCATCACTTGGCCTCAAGGTTTTAAGGTTTTTGCCCCTTATTTATTTAATTTATCTATCTTAAATAACTTAACCCTTTTATTAGAGATATAACCTCTAATATATATTTTTGTATCTTTTTAAAATGGTTTCACTGATCCAGAGAGTAGGTTTGGGTCTTAGACAAGACCATAAGGGTGAGCTCAGTACCTCAGATGAGTGAGGTGAAGAAAAGACAGGGAGTTTTCCAGACTCACTAATACAATCTCAGATTAATAGTTTTTAAGCATTACTTCTTCAGTCAATATCCTCCCACTAAGGAGACCCAGGGAAGGAGTCCCTGTCAGGATTGTCCCACTAACCAGAATCTGGACCAGAGAAAAATACCTACACAAAGCTCTTCAGAGTATCACAAGAACTAGGTTGGTGTTGGTGTCTTGAAATACAGTGGTCATTGTACCATTGATTGGGTTTGTAAGGCCAAACCCATAATTACCTCATACCAGAGGCTGTCCAGGGGCCTGAAATTTCAAAAGTGTCAGTTCCATTGATTCAGATGATTTATGTTGTAAAACAGGACATCTCCCAAAGCTGCAGGTGAGGCTGCATGACAGTGTTTTCTTAGGAGGATTGTTTAGCTGTGGGAGCAATTGGATATAACTCTGGCAAAAATGGAGTCACTTTGGGCAGTTGAGTAACAGTAAGACTTTGCACTGTTTCTAGTCCTCAAAAAACTGCACATTTTTCTAAGAACCAAGTTATGAAATCATTGTAAGATATCAATTTTTATTCATATCACTCATACTCATGTTAATGAAAGTCATTTCATTAGAGTCCTTTGTGAATGATGAAGATATTTTCTAAAGGTTTTTCCTAACACACACTCAGTAATAAGGATTTAAATCCATGCACTTTGTGTATTTATATTCAAAGATTAAAACTGTTCACAGCTAGGAAAATGTGTTTAATACCTTAATAAGCTTTCAGAATTTTGTAGATTCAAGATTTTTTTTTTACTTGGCAATTTGATATCTGGTATTATTTGGAAGTATGTGTTAACTAAAGTCATTTGTTATACATACACTATGTATTTTGGTGGATGGATGAAGCAGATTGATAAAATACATAAGGACGGTGTAGGATTAAAATATCTATGAGCTGTGCTACTCTTGAGTTTCACTTTGTGGACAAACAGGAGTCTCCCATTGTCATGCTTTATTCATTGTCTCTCTCTACTCGATGCTCAATAGTTCTTTAATCTTGTAAATGAATAAATCTTAAAAATATGTCATTTTAACGTGGGTGTGGTAGCTCACTCCATTATTCCCAGCACTGGGGAGGCAGAGGCAGGCAGATCTCAGAGTTAAGTCCCACTGGACAGGACAACAAGGACTGCACAGAGAAAGCCTGTCGTAAAAAAACAAAACAAAAAAAATTGGGTAATTTTGTCCTTTATTCATTGACAAATATGTTGCCTTAGCAAAATTTGCTATTCATAGGTGACCTGAAGGGTTTTTTTTAATCATGATTTGATACTTTCAGGTATATAATTTCATGTCATCTGTTGTGGAATAATCTTTTTGTACACTATGAGAATGTGTCACTTGGATTGGTTTACTAAAAAGCTAAATGGTCATTAGCTAGGCAAAATTTTCGGGGCAGAGAGGATGCTGGGAAAAAGAGAGGAGATGCTAGGACACAGAGCAGGCACCATGGACATTACAAAGTAAGGTAACCAAGCCAAGTAAAAGAAGTAGATGAAAAGAAATGGGTTAATTTAACTTATAAGAACTAGTTAGAAACAGGCCTAAACTATTGGCAAGCTTTCATAATAAGTCTCTGTGTCATGATTTGGGAGCTGGCTGGTGGGACAGAGAAAGATTCCCTACAGTCATCCAAATAAAACATGAAATACTGTCCTGAATTTTTTAGCTGTATTATTTAATCTTGTTCTGGACCATCTGCTTTTTGTGCAGCATATCTTTTGTACCTTACAAAATAATACTCTATGTGTAGGGTAAAACTTTTGTATTTTAATGACAACTCACAATCACACAATCACAATCCACTTTCTCTTTTTAGGATTGGCTACATTATAATTTCATGGATGTCCAGCCATATACCATCTATATTAATGAGCTTATTTTTGTTAGTAAAGTGCCCTTACAACTTACTTAGCTATTTAACTTTAAATAATGTACCATTATTTCTTTGTTCTATTTGGATGTCCTCTTATTCCAATAAAGGTATAGATTATTTCCTCCTACTCTATTGTGTGAATTATGCTCAGTGTGTATAGATATTTAAACATACTCTATTTTCTGGTTTATGGTTAAATATGTATGAATAAATCTCTCCATTTTAACAGTAAACATTATAAATATGAAGACTATTGCTTAGCTTTTGATCATATCTCAACTTTTCCTCAACAGGAACAATATCAAATGATTGTAACCATTACAACAAGGCCATTGATTGTAACTCACTCCTTATTCAACGCCAGAGAATCCATACAGGGGAGAAACCCTACAAGTGTGAAATATGTGGAAAGGCCCTTAGTTCTCAAAAAAACCTATCTATACACCAGAGACTCCATACTGGAGACAAACCCTATATGTGTAAAGAATGTCATAAGGCGTTTAGTACTCGCTCATCACTTTTTATACACCAGAAAATTCATACTGAAGAAAAAACGTACAAGTGTGAAGAATGTGGCAAATCATTTTACTATCCTTCAATGCTGAAGCAACATCAAAGAATTCATTCTGGAGAGAAACCCTACAAGTGTGAAGGATGTGGCAAAGCTTTCTATGATCGTTCATTCCTCAAGCAACATCAAAGAGTTCATTGTGGAAAGAAACCCTACAAGTGTGAAGAATGTGGGAAAACATTTTCCTCTGCTTCAATCCTTCACAAGCATAAACGTATTCATTCTGGTGAGAAGCCCTACAAGTGTGAACTGTGTGGAAAAGGATTTACTAAGCCTTCTGTCCTTTCTGAGCACAAGATATGTCATACTGGAAAGAAACCCTACAAGTGTGAAGAGTGTGACAGATGTTTTTCCTCTTCTTTAACCCTTAGAAGACATCAAAGAATCCACTCTGAAGACAATCCCTTCAAGTGTGTCGAATGTGGCAGAGCCTTCTACACGCTTTATGCCCTTACTCAGCACAAGTTTGTTCATTCTGGAGAGAAACCCTACAAGTGTGAAGAGTGTGGCCGATGCTTTTCCTTTTATTCAGTCCTTAGAAGACATGAAATAATTCACTCTGAAGACAGCCCCTACAAGTGTGGAGAATGTGGCAAAGCCTTTACCAAACTTTGTATATTTACCCAGCACAAATTTGTTCATACTGGAGAGACACCATACAGGTGTGAAGAGTGTGGCAAAGGATTTTCTAGTCCTTCATATCTTAAGGTACATAAAACTATTCATTCTGAAGAGAATGCCTTCAAGTGTGGAGAATGTGGCAAAGGCTTTGTTAATCATTATACCCTTTCTCGACACAAGACAGTTCATACTGGAGAGAAATCCTACAAATGTAATAAAAAGTTTACACTTTTGTAGCCTTCAAACACATCAAATAATTCATTCTGAATAGAAGTTCCACAAGCATGTGGAATGTGGTAAATCCTTTGCTGATGATTCAGACCTTATGCAGCACAAATGAATGCATTGAGTAGGGAAGCTATGCACATGTGAAGAATTAAGTGCTATAACATTCCATCAACACTGTCTACCATCAGTAACATTCATTCGGCAGTATAACAACCAAACATGAATGGAGTGCCTGACACTTAGTATTTCCTTGTATCTTTTTTTGTTTGTTTGTTTGTTTTTGTTTTTCGAGACAGGGTTTCTCTGTGTAGCTTTGCGCCTTTCCTGGAACTCGCTTTGGAGACCAGGCTGACCTCGAACTCACAGAGATCTGCCTGCCTCTGCCTCCCAAGTGCTGGGATTAAAGGTGTGCACCACCACTGCCCGGCGTTTCCTTGTATCTTAAATAACACAACAATTTTCATCCTGAAATCAAAGCTATAATGTGAAGGATGTGGTGAAGGTTTCAGTTATCATTCAGTTCTGGTTCAACCTCAGTAATTCTCACCTGAGAGAAACCCTGCTCATGTGCAGAATAGGACCAAGGCTTAGCTCTTTCTCATGCCTGTATAAGTTTTAGAGAATTCATTGTGATGAAGAATCCAACAAAAGCAATCAATGTCCAAGTTCTCTAAGTGTTTGTCACACTCCAGGATCTGCAGATCCTTCATACTGCAGATACACTCTACACACTCAAAAGCTGTGCCTAAGCATTTAATAGTAATTCAAGTCTTCATCAGCAACAAAGTGTGACATAGATGAGGAACTGCAGATGCAGATGTCTTGTTAGCTTGCTGCAGGTATCCACACCACACAACCCCACATTATCTGAAATCTGAAGGACTCGCAGTTAGCTATTTGCTTCTCTCTGATTAGTTTTATTACAAGCTTGTGTTCAGGGTGTTTTCTTGATTTCTAAGTGATGTGAGAGAAGCCAGCCAGGATAACCAACACCATCCTGTACAGGAATTCCTTGGTTGTGTAAGAATTGTGAGCATGAATCAGATGGAGCAAATTAGAAGGCACTATTCCCCCATGGTTTCTGCATCACTTCCTGTCCTGGCTTCCCTGGATGATGGAACAATAATTCATAATTTGAAATAAACTGATTATTCCCCCATGTTGTTTTTAGTATAGCTGTGTGTTGTTTTTAGTCCAGTCCACATTTCTAGTACAGTCTAACAGAAATCAATCTAGGACAGCTGTGAATATGGAAACTTTTCTCTCTTCATAACTCTGTTGTTACCACCTAATGGCATTCGAGAGACAATGTCACAAAGCCTGTAGATGTGTCCAGCTCTACTCTAGACCTGAGCATCCACACTGCAGAGAAGTAAAAGAATATAACAAATTATTGTTTCCCCAAGTCAACACCAAAATTTTCAGACTAGAGAGAAACCTGTGAAATTGAAGAGAGTAGCTATGTGTGGAGCAATTGTTCTAAACACAAACATGAGAATTTTAGGCCTGAAGGAAAACTAACACACTCAGTTGATAAGAGGGTTGATTTTTCTTCATACCTCAGTATCAGAGAGTTTATTTGGTTTAGGAGTCATATAGGTATAAATAGTGTGACAAAGCCTTAAGAACAATCATTACCCATGAGTAAATTCATGTTGTAGTGAATCCTATATATAATGACTGGCAGAATCATTTTTCACTGTTTACACCTCACAGCAACACATCAGCTATCATTTAAGGCACTATGTTCATGGAAATAGTATAGCAACATCTTTCCTCATGGTTAGTAATGGATGTATTGAAGTGTAGTGAATACATGCTATCAGTGATCTAGGAAAGAAGGTATGTGTCCTACACGTTGAGCAGGATGGTTGGAGCTTCCTAAGCCCTTTGGGTCAACTGTGTTTCACCAGAGACCTCTCATACTAAACTGGAGCTATATGACTAGGTGTTTGCCATCCAGGATGTTGGTCTTTGGTCTGATTCCCTTTATGTCAACAGTATTTTTTTGAAAAGGCTGTCAATTCCAGTTCCTTGTTTTGACACTTTTGACAAAAATTACATGTCCTTTGCATTAGTCTTTATCTCTTGTTCTTATGTTACATTGTGTTGGGCTGTATGTTTGTATTTATGTGAGTCCCATGCCATCCTTTTCACTATGGCTCTGTAATGCAATTTGACATTAGGGAATATATATCTTTGGTTATTTCTGTTCTTTTGTGTTCTCACATTTTTTTCCCCATGTTCTATAATAGTTTCCATTAGAATTTTTATGTGGATTGTATTGATTATGTAAATAGTTTTATTAATGTAGATTTTTGTACAACATGAGTTCTTATCCAGGGATATGTTTTTCTCTTTGTAATCTGTTGTCTTCTTTGGGTAATGTTTTCAGTATTTTAAAATTTTGTTAGTATAAATCTTTTACCTCCCAGGTTAGGTTTATTTCTAGATATTTCTACTTTTTCTTTAGAGATTCTGAATATATTCTTTTTCCTGATTACTTTCTTAAGAAGTCTACTAATAGAGTATATCAAGTTTAATGGCTTTTGTAAGTTGATTTTACAAACTAAGGAAATATTTATCAAGTTAAGTTTTAGGCAGAGTCTATGGGTCCATCTAAGTACAGAATTATGATATTTGTAATTAGGAATGTTTAACTTCTTCCTTTCTATCTTTTATCCCTTTTGTATCTTTTTATTTTTTTCTTTCTCTCATTAGGAATTGAGTACAGCCGGGTATGGTGGTACATACCCTTTTTTGCTGTGTTCAGGAGGGAGATGCAGGAAGGTCTCTGTTAGTTCCAATCCATCCTGGTCTACATAGTGAGAATTAAAACATAATTTTAATGTTTAGTCACCTTATAAATGATTAAATGACTCTCATGTTCCTTAAATTGTATTTATAGTTATCCTAAATACACATGAAATTTATTGACAGAGACAAGATTGGAAGGAAAGACCAATTTGTATCTCATTCTACAGTCTTCTGATATTATTGAAGTATATCCCAAAACACATATGTCAAAATTAGTTTAAAGTACATAGTTTAATATGAAATAGTGTTCAAAATCATATATGTTTCTAAAGAGAAATCTGGTTTGGGAAATAGAGTGCTAGAGGTAAATGTGTTAAATGTACAGTACCCTTGCCTGGCAGGACATCCCCAGGCTCAAGTAGCACCATTTCCCTAGGATAGGACACATACCGTTTGAAACTAAATTGCATACTGGCCACATTACCAGATAAGCATGCACAGGGAAAAACGACTTTCAGAAAGTCTGCTGCTCCTGTCTCCCTCCATCATGTAGGCCAGATCAGAAGAACCTCATTCTCTCTGGGGGAGATGAATTACTCCTCATGTCTTACATGGCGGTCAGATGGAGTCACTTGCCCAGTAACAGAGTTTGTACCCACATACGAAATTTCTCAAGCCACAGAGGCAAATACCCATTACTCTGCCCTTACTGTCTCCCTTTGTGACATATGAGGATGCTGTCAATACAGGATCCTTGTATGTAACCTGCCAGGAGAGTGGTGTGGGATTTACACAACAGTGGAATTTGCCATGCCCTTACTCTGACTTTCAATTTTTGTCCTCCTAGCAAAGCCCATTCTAGGATGACAGGTCAATGCATGATACTTTAAGGAGTCCCCAAAACTGTTTTAAGTAACATAAGACAGAGTTGACCAGGAGGCCAGACAATACAGCAGACTGAACTAGGGATACTCATTTAAATACCAAGCTGCAGGCACCGTCCTGTGAACTCACCTTGTACAACTAAGGGAAAGACTGGCTGAAGAGAAGGAAACCTGTGCTGTAGACTGTTGTGTGATATTTTAATTGTTCTGACAATAGAGCTTGCTCTGAGTCAGGGCAGAACTAGCCATTAGGTGACCAAAATTAACCATAGAGGTTTTGGAGGACCGTGGAGAGAGAGGAGACAGGAAAAAATAAGGCAAGGCTGCGATCTCAGCCCTTTTGGAGGGAGGGATCGGAGAGGTAGGAGGTCACTGGTGGCTTCTTCACAGCTTCTCTGATCATTCAGGTTCTTACCCCAATATCTGACTCCCCATTTTTTTTTATTGATAAAGAATAATTAGACAAACGCTTCAGGAAATATCCAGCCAGACCAGCCTTTCTAAAGCACCTTCCAAAGAAGATGGGGACCTGTTCTTCAACCCTACTCTCTTTGCAAGCCTGGAGGGTAACGTGTGCATGGCAGAAACTTGAGGAATTTAACAGGGGGCATTGGCATAAGGGTCACTGTGGCCCGTCTTCCCCTTGAACTCAGGGCAATATTGGCAAAACTGCTTCCTATAGGGCTAGTCACAACCGCTCCTCAGGACTGGACTCTTAAGCAAAATTTTACTAACTCTGCTCTATCTCGGTCTAGTGGTCAGGCCCTGTTCATTAACTGGTTGTTAAACTTGGTCAGTTGAAAGATAGCCTCCAAATGATCTGTTTTTGCGGCACCTGACGCTGCCTGTCATAAAGTTTACAGAGGGTTAGCATCATGCTGGGGAGGCATGAAGGATCAAGTGAGAAGACTCCCAGAAGGGCTCAGATGCTGAGGGCTAAGGAGCCCTGCATCATTGTAACCTCAGGGAAGAGACAGGGATGGCTTTGCAGAGCTGAGATGTGGCCAGACTCACTGTGTATTGTCCACTTGGCTTTGCCGTGAGTACAACAGAGGAACGATGACCAGTGGCCTCCCCACCCTCCTTTACCTCACTCCTGCCTCCACAGTCATAACAGCTGCTTCTATTCCTGATTATCTGTTATTATTAAAGTTAGGAAAGGAGTGTAACAGTCAAATGAACTTGCTGGGTAGAACATTACAAGACAACACATCACATACCTTCTAGAGTTGATTTGTTTATAAAACAGTTTTTTAACATGTCTACCTCATGTGCACATTAGAGATAAGAGAGAAATGAACAAAGTTCTAATCAGGAAGAAAGTCTCAGCTTCCATTGTTGTAAATAATAAAGGCTGATTTGTGGAAAGGTCCTATTTTTTAAAAAAATGGCTACGATATGGCCAAAGACATGTGAAGAAAGACAGGTTTGCTATGTGTATTTGAGTCACTGTTTTCTTCCTTACAGGAGTCTCTGGAGAGCTAATTATCTTTTTATTCTTGGTCCAGAAAGGAATGTTTCCTCACAAATGGAAATATACTTAATTGGATAAATGTTTTATCCTAAAGGAACACTTTTTCCAAGGTACAGACAGCCTCTGTAGGAAGCATTTCATGAACAGCTCAAAGTGAATGGTATAGCAGAAACACACAGTCTCTTGAGTAAATATTATAACAGACACACACTGTCAAGTGACATTTCTCATTTCTCTTTAATTTTATGCCCTACTATTTAAAAAGTTTCAAAGAAAAAGATATCACATGTCAAAATTAACAAGAACTTCAAACTATATAACTCATGAAGATATTGCTATACAGTTATGATGGACATTTAGAGCAGAAGCTGAGGAGTTCACATTGCATTTTACACTGTTTCTTTTGAATAAATTTAATGCACTTCCACACCAGCAAAAAACAAAATCCACGACAGAGTTAGAACAAAAAAAAACAAAAACAAACAAACAAAAAAACAATTATAGCCCCCTTTGTAAAGCAGATTTTTCTGTCCCTTCTGTTAGCTCCCAAATCACGATATGGAGGCTTATTATTAATTATAAAAGACCAACCGATAATTTATGCTTGTTTCTGACTATCTCTTATAACTTAAATTAACCCATTTCTTTGAATTTACTTTCTGCCCCTTCACTCAGCCCATGTTGCTTTCCTACTTCCTGTGTCCGGCTGGTGACTCCTCCTGACTCCGCCCATTCAGCGGTCTCTCTTCCCTGGAAGTCCTGCCTAACCCTTGGCTCTTCAGTTTTTGTTTGTTCTTTTTTTTAACCACGGACAGTAACCTATCTCACACAGTATAAAGGAATACTCCACAGCACCCCTCTCTTGTTTTTTGTTTGTTTGATGATTCTTCAGCTGAAACAACAATAAAGATGATTTATTGTACACAAGTTACACTTGGCCACGAGTGACAACAGAACTGGTCCAGAATGCCACAGGTCCAGGGCAGAGGAGCAGCTGAACTGTTCTGTTTGTAAGGAAGGTAGTATGTAGGCGAGCAGATGGAGACGTTCCTGGTCACTGAGACTTACCCCCGACAGCAGCACGCAGTCTAACGATTTGTACGGGCATCACGGCCTTCTGCGTCCCTTACCTCTGCTCCTCCAGCCTTCACGGGCACAAACGAACTCACTTGCACCTTCACCTCATCTTTCTTCTCTTGCTCTTCAGCCTGCATATTGGCTTCTTCGTCTACTTTGCTCTCACGGCACAGGGGTTCCAAGGAAGACTGTGCTAAGGCTGAGTCCTATGTCCTCTCTCACAACCCATATTCATTGTCTGCTGTCAATCCTTCCTCGTCCCCTAATATGTAGCCTTTAATATCCTCTTTTCTATGTTACATGCTGTACCCTATGTAAATTTGTTCACAGGTACATGTGTTGTTGTCTAGGATATGCATATGAGGAAGAACTTCCAGTTTTCTCTTTTTGAGATTGTGTGATCTCAATATACATTCCAAGTCCTTCAATATTCCTGCAAATTTTGTGATACATTTTTCTTTAGTGCTAGAAAGCATTCTCATATATATATATATATATATATATATATATATATATATATAT